TTTTCTGTTAAAGATTTAATTGAATTTTTATGCATTGCATAATTAATTAATATATTTTTATGCATGCATTATGTTATCAAAGAATAATATAATTTCGATTAAATTAAACTAAGTGAAAAAAATTTGTATATACTTTGCAATTTTAAAAAAATACGATAAATATGACAAGTAGTAGAATCCATTATATATTCAACATGAATTTAATCGGTGTTCTATTATTTATATTTGCTGTACACCACAAAACCAATATAAGTTTGTAAACAAAAGAGATTATTTTTAAGATATTTGCACACCTATATGTATGTAATATTTCTCTAATTTGTAAAGAGACTTTTATTAAAAAATCTCAGCGAGATTCGTTCGATGTCGAAACGGTGAACAAACGGCAGCATATGCAAAAGGATTTGCAATTTTTTAATTGACAGCGTCATAGCGAGCGTGATGTATCGCGAATACTCTCTAATTGACGCAATCCGTCCTCGATTTTAATATCTCGACAAGCGGGATTAACGCATTCTAAGTCTACATTCTTCCTCCTCTTCCGGTAAAAAGAAACCCGGCGATACGAGGATGGGCGCTTTAGCGCGTTCCATCAAGAACACTTGACGAATGTTATGCAATGATTTTAATTAATGCCAGGGTTATATCCACTTTCGTTACGCCGGTGCTCCGCCGACGCGGCACAAAGTAGAGTACGCTGAAGTAGCAAGAAATATGTGTAGTAACACACTCTCACATACGTAGAGATGTACTGTCAGGCTTGTACATTTTAATTTAGAAAGCAGGGACAAGTACTCGTTTAATACGCGCGAGCTACCACGCATCACTATGTGCATCAGCTTTTATAAAGTGTACCTCGCCTTGAAAACCACTCTTCGGTTCCCCATTACATATATGATAAATTACGAGAGAGCTTCCAGTTATAAACTTTGGTCGCTTGACGAAACAAAGTCTCATTTTCCTTTCATAGTGCATCGAGTGTTTATATACGGTAGACCGCTCATTTTTATCTAAAAATATGTGTGACTCCCTTTTTATAAAAAAGAATTTACATACAAATAGAATGTTTATATCGTCGTAAAATAATAATGTAAATGAGGAACAGATATGTCTATAGTTACATGATGTGGATCTAATTATAATGAAATAATTTCGTACAATGCAATACTGTTTGTACATATTTTTCGTGAGTAATCTTGACTACTAATGTATTGTAACTTTTCTCCGAATAGATTAATAATTCATCATTACCTTTAGAGAAAAGAAAAAAAAATGGTCGAAAGTAGAGTTCTCGGTGTGCCCTGTATAAAAATATCGAGGCACGTATACATTATTCAACACGAGAACTGCGGTCGAGACTCATTTAGCGGACCGTTCCTATCCCTTAGAACTCTGAACTCTCGGTGGACGACGAAGAAAAGGATACGGAGAAGCCACGGTGGGACCGCGGGATTAAGGATAATCCTATTAGACTTAAATGAATCCGGTGACGACTGCGTTCCCTCTAGCGAAATATTATGTTATGCTGTTATTACTGTAAACTCGCTCACCAACGGTTCTTTCCTGAGTACGGTCCCGCTTGTCTTTTTCTTGCCGAAAACTTTATGGATAAATTCTCTCGTGATCCGCAAACATTCCCTCTCTGAGTAACAATTCTTAAATGTCGATATGTCGAATATATGTACGTGCATAATTTCAGAAAAAAGATTATCCGAATATACATATATATAAATAACAAAATTTATATTTACTTAAAATTAAATATCAGAAGAAATTTAATAATATTATAATTGTAATAGAATCATTGTTAATTGTAAGCTAACAAATTATATTTTATTATCGTAATAATGTATAGTTTTATTGGTGCAATAATATACATATATATGTATCTCGAGCAAAATTGCATGGAGGAAAAATTTACTGTGCCATTATGTCATATTATTATTCGTGTACGCGCGGAGCGCGTTGTATTTTCCTTTGCTTTGTTTCCCTTGTATTTATCTGTCGCGAAACTTCGACAATATAGCTGGCAGCGATCTGAGACCATCTTTAAGTCTTGCATATATCGCGAACAAAAGCGAGAAGAAACTTGGCGCGAGTATATTTATTAGTCGAGTGAAACTACGTGGAGTGTTCTGAGCGGAAACACGTCGTAATACGAAAAGAAATATTCTTGGTTGCAACTTTGCTATTAAGTCGATGCAACTATATTTCAGAGTACAATATGCGAAGAAATATAATAATTTTATTGTGTGTTTAGATTTCTGTGCATGAAAATTAAAAATAATGTAAGAGAGTTGAAAAGAAGTCGAAAAACGTATTGTCCAATAATATGTGTATTATTTTTCGGCAATTTCGCAAATTTTTGCCGAACCAAATTTTTTGAAAGATGATACCAAGAGAATATGTTCCAATGAGAGAACGTGATATCCCGTAATCTGTCGTTTGAACATCAACGAAAAAGCAAAAATTCAAGAACGTCGAAGGCGTCAGGAAAGAGAGGACGATATGTCTGAAATAAGACGACATTACTTAAAAAGAATTATGAAGCGACTGAAGAAAGTTCGCAAGAAGAAGAATCGACGACGACGGATCACGAGCGTCAAAGCCAGAACGGTGTCGCACTTATCCTTAAGTGATTGATGTCGTTCGGTTCTGCAGGAAAAATAAAAAGCGGCTTTTAATGATTTTTTAAAGGGTATTCGGTGTACTAAGATGAGAGCCGCGCCTCTGAGTTTATTGATATATTTATAAAAGATGTGATACGTCATTAATATCGACTTTCCAATTATTATATTTCTTGCAAACGAAACTTTGATGATAATTTATATGATTTTTGTTTTATGAAAATACACAATTACGAATAAGCGAAATAATTTTCCCTGCATTTAGATGGACGTTAAACTATTGCTTTCAAATCACTGAACATTGAGAATTAGACTCAAAACGGTCCAAGTACTTATTGTTAGTTGCTTACGCACATGTGATATGCGCAAATATGATAATAAACTTTCATATAATACTCCCACTAAAGTTTCATAGAGTATTACAGCGAACAACAGAAATAACGTTGGTTCCTCGTTCAAAAGTTCGCCATCTAAAGCGGTAAACAGGTATCGCGCAAGTTTTGAACATACGTTGTAACACCACTCGTGAAAGTTCAAGTTAATCTCGCGTTTATAGTATTGACTATCCTATACAGGTTATGGATTTTATTATATATTTCCGATATAGTTGTGAGTGTTGTGACCAACATAGCTTTAAGCAATTTCCAATACGATCAATTTCACAGACATGCTTTTAAATCTCCATAAACCTAAATAGTGTAGTTTTAAAAAATGTAAAACAACTGAATAATAGATATAACAGATTCAGCCATTACAAGTATAGTAATAATACACAATAAAAATAAAAATCACACATATATATATATATTGTAATTTAATAAAATTAATGTGAAAATAAGGATTGAACAAACATTTGCTAAATAAATTATTACATATATCAAAATAAATAATACAAAAAATATATACTCAAAATTTATTTATATTATATTTATAGATATAAAATATAAAGACGAATAATTTGATAACCGATAAATATAATTTCTTTAGAAATTTCCAGTGTATAGCCGTATTAATCATGTTACCTATGTCGTGTCGGTGAAATACTAAAAACAGAATTAATGGCGACAGTGATACCTTACATTTGTAACGATTGTATTACAAGAAAGCGCGTTTTCTTCGCTCGATAATTATCAGTAAGCTTAGCGCTGTACCTCGCGGCTGATTAATCGCGCTTTTTCCAACTGATGCAATCTTAACGACGATTCAACCAGTGCTTTCGGTTCCGCTACTTTCCAAGTGGTAAAACAAAGCGGAAATTGCCAGTCGCTTGCGCGATGAAAGTTATATTTTCAAACCTCTTGGTAACTAGGTCAATCTTTGCACCAGAGAGCATTTTACAGATTTATATCAGCGAAAATTTTTATTGCGAGATAATGTTCATCACGCACATTTAATTACGCTCATCATCCATGGCACATATATCGATAAAATGCAGAAACAGATGGATTTGAAAAAAAGAAAAAATAAAGCTTCTTAACCGACCGCATTATCGTGATCCGCGCGTAACTTCCAACAAAGTTTTGATTGCATAATTGTACGCTCGTCCGACTTTCTGTGCCGATCAAGAAATTCATAAAATAATTTGCATGATATAATTTCAGACTGTACGATACAGGCGGTCCATTTTATATATAGCGCGCACACTCGATTCGGCTAATGCTGATTACGCAGGAAATTAATTATGCAAGTCTGCGCAAAATATTATCACTGATATCACAGACAGTAAAATAAGTCCAGCGTCAGTAAAAGAGCCACAACAAAATGCAAATATGCATATATGATCATATAAATTTCAATAATTAATTTCAATCGTTATAGCTATATTTACATATATAATATGAGATTTTACAAATTTAAAAAAAATAATACAATATTTATGCAGTACTAAAAATGTAGCAAATAAAGTCAAAAATTTAGTTAAAAAATAAAAAATTAATATGGCTATAAATACGTAACATTTTTATTTAGTTTACATTTATTATATTATAAGCAAGTAGTATCCATAAAAGTCTGTAAATAAATTTAAATTTTTCTTTGAATTAAGCAGATTGTATTTTTATCGATGCGCGCATTGGTAATCAGGAATTTTTTTAAATATGAAACATTTGTTTAAATATAAAAATGTATAAAACTATTATAAGAAATCTCAATATACAAAGTTTTTATAATTAACAGGATTTAATTTATCCGTTTGACACTTTTACCGTTATTGCCGACAGTCTGTTTAGCGTTAATGGGAACACGCTTTTCAGTCATGTCTTTAAATATACAAGCGATTCGATAGAGACTGGAACTAAAGAAATTTCACGCTTCATGCGTGTCAGAAACGCAGAGGCTAGAAATATGCATTACGTTCACGATATATATACTTACTTATACGCGTCTGCTGAGAATATGGTTCATCGTATCCCTCCGGTTGGTCCGGATCTAGAAATACAAACATTTTTAATGACAAAATTATATCGTTATAAAATGCAAAAAAAAAACAAAATGTAATAATTCACAAATCTTAATCTTAAATCTTTATCAAGTTAAATTTTTAGCATATTTTTTACTTTAATTTTTTGAATTATATACAACCTATTGTGTGTGTTAAATAACTTATATTTTATCAATTCAAGAGATTAATTTAAGGAATATATGTCAATAAATATATTTTTAATACGTTCCAATTTTATGTGCTTGCACATCATATTATAAAGATATTCAATTGTATTTGATTTTCGTGAAAATTTTAATAAAAAATTGTGATTTCGTATAAAAATGTGGAGTTGCTATCGTAAATTGTCGTATGAGGAGCAAACGTAAAGCACGAAATGTGAAGTGGGACGACAATCACCTCGTACTGAGAGCTGCACTGCATACATGATCTTAGGTTCCGTATTGACCTGGCACTCGTACTTGCCAGAATCCGTCTCTCTGGCGTTATCCAGCCTGAGAGTCCAGACATCGCTGCCTGGCACATGCTGGACTCCAAATCGTGGATCCGAGCTGAACGAGTAATATCCCGAAGTGAGAATATGGAGGTCCTTGCTTCTCATCCAGGAAACCTGAAATCAGAAATGCAATTTACTGAAATAAGGAAACATTCAACAATCTTGACAATTTTAGAAATGTATCAATTAAGAAATGTATCTTTAATCTTTTGCGAACCTTTTATCTTATTTATTATAGATAATTATATACAGAAAATATATATATATATATATAGAAGTAAATTTTTTAAAGCAAGATTAGAATTATATAATAATGACAATTTAAAATTAAAATAATTAAAATGTCATATAAATCTTGAGAGCAAATTACAGAATAATTGTGCATTTAATTGAATGCAACTTTTTCTATACCAAGTCATATCCTGTCGCTTAATATTATGACTTGTTAAATGTGAATAATCTGAACAATCTATACAAATTAATCTAAGTAAAAAAAAAAAAAAAAAAGACGAAGACAATCTTTTCGAATGCTTAAAAAAATTAAATAAAAATCCTAGCATTTCCGACATTACCACATGATACTCTTTACTTAAGTGCGAAAATATCTCGAGTAAATAAGAGACGAATATGGCGGTTCGCAACTGTACTTCCTGCAGGATCTTTCGTTGTAACGGCACGAACTAGGGGTAGTGGTTGGACGCGTACTCGATAATAGCGGCACTCGGGAAACGTAAAGTTGCCAGACACCGTTGATGACGCGCATTTGTCAGAGTGGCGTCATTTAGCCGATACGTGAGACCGCAAACGCCCGTCGTATCGGTGCGACGACCGTTCTCCTTAAAATCCGAGAAGGCTCGCGCGGAACGTGCACTCGCCTCGCGTAAATCAACATCCCTCTCTCTTCCTTGCAGTACGACTTATTTCCCTCGTTCGGCGCGCACGACCCCGACCGAACACGTAACACGTCGTAATACATAATAATACATTACGACGCGATAATAATAAAGTTAATGGAGCGGAAGCGAGAACATGCGGCGCGTAGGATGGTAACGCAACGATGGGCGTAATGGCGCTAATGGATGCTCGATTACTCGAGCGGCACGCAATTATTATTAATTATCATCGATACTGTGTCAGTGATAGCGTATTACCTATAATCAGTATTCTCTTTCCCTTTAGAAACATTTCTCTATCGATTACGGTAAAAATTAATGTTAAATGAGATCTACATATATTTTTTTATGAAATAGTCAAATGCTGTTATTTGGAAGGAAATTTTTTTCTAATTATTTGAATTTTTTATTATATCATAAATGCCATTACTTAAGAGATTTTAAATCTTCCAATTCTGTTCTACTTTAAATACTAAATTAAATGTTTTAATGAATAAAGCATAGACATTAAACGTCTATTGATTATTAATCTTAATTTCAATTATTACACTCTTCTAATATTTTATCTGTTTACATAAATAATACATATAATTTAACTAACTGTTTTTACAGAGATTCCTAAAGTCTATAATTTATTAATATTATAATACAATTCTCTTCGTCCTCTTTTTTTAAGAATTTTTAAACAAAACGCGACAAGTTAGGAGACTCAAACAATATATCCGTTTTAAGTCAGCCGAGTGCTATGTAATTCTCTCTGATTACTCATTCTCTTTCTTGTATTTTCCCCTGCGTTGTATTAACGCTAAAGTCTCGCAAGCAACCTACTTCGAAAACATTACTAAACTAATAAATTTCAACCGTCCTGCTTCATCAATTAACATTCATATATTGCGCAATATCAATGTATAGCAATTAACAAATAATTCAAATAATTAGAGAGCTTGAGCATCAGTGTAAAGATACTACGAAAATTGATGTAGAGGATTTCGCACTACACACAAGATAATTAATCATTCTTATATTTTTGGGGGGAAAATATTCTTTTAAAAAATTATTTATATATAATCTTGATCTCTAATTATTTTCTATAACTTTATAATTATTTTCTGCATTTATTTCAATTAAATGATTGTATATTGTCCATTTCTTGATTAAATTTTAGTTTTGAATCGTTCCTGCTTGTCGGTCTTCTTTAATAATAAGTTCGTGAAACCATTCTAATAAAATGTTCAGTCTCAGCGGACATTTGATGAAACAAGGAAGAAATTTTTGCGAGTGCAGCGTCTCCAGCAAAAGATGCAATCCGATGAATATGGTTACTGGACAGTGTGCCGTGGCTTATCCGATTCTCATATTTTTCGGCACTCGGTCGGCCAAACGGTCGGATATTAGATATCCGGTTATCGGCTGGTAGTCATTTCCGGTTTATACCCAGTTACCATTTTGCCATTGGCTATGCCATGAGATGTTTCATCGTGTATTAGTTTCGTCGAGGAACGCCTGGGAATACATGATACCCTTGATGATTTGTTGCCACTACGGCGTATCGAAAAAGTTATCGATTCGCGGCCGCAAAAACGTGAGACATCCGTCGCCACGTCGGCTTAGAATGGGTTTTAATAATGTCATAAGTAGTGACGGGAATTCCAAGCGTTGCGCCAATTTTCAGTTTAATCTTATTACTCCGAAGTTAAGATTCGCTTATAGATTGAAAGATGCTTATATAATGATGTACAGATGCATATTGCGGTGGATTATTATGCAAATGTATTTTTATAATCGTTGTTTATAATTATATTAAATATTAAAAGGCGATTGTATTTTCTCAAGCATAACGATTGGCGATCTCTTAATCTTAGTACAAAAAGTTAATCCAATAAGGAATTATTTAAATATAAATTTCAGATATAATCTTTCTATATTTAAAGATTATATATATATATATATATATATATATATATAAGATTCGCTTATAGATTGAAAGATGCTTATAATGATGTACAGATGCATATTGCGGTGTATTATTATGCAAATGTATTTTTATAATCGTTGTTTATAATTATATTAAATATTAAAAGGCGATTGTATTTTCTCAAGCATAACGATTGGCGATCTCTTAATCTTAGTACAAAAAGTTAATCCAATAAGGAATTATTTAAATAAAAATTTCAGATATAATCTTTCTATATTTAGAGATTATATATATATATATATATATATATATATATATATATTTGAGAAATTAAATCGTGCGAATTTCTTTGATTCATCACTAGCAGTATCGTCAGATACAATCGAGAATGTCCCATCGACGTGACATCGAGACTACGAGGAGTCCAATAATCTGGTTGACAAAAAAAGAGACAACGGAGTCTCGAATATTCCGTCGGCATGGCGGTGGGACTCGAGATTTATCGTCGTTATTAAAACAAGCGCGGTGATACACGAGCGATCTCTGGTCGGGCGAACGTAGACATTATTCAAAGGGAACAAAAGAAGTCTAGATTAATCGGTAATTAAATCGACGGCGGAATACCGCAGTGTACTGATACACGCTCTCTCTCTCTCTCTCTCTCCCTCTCTCTTTCTAGCAACTTGCTTTTCCCGATTTTATCGGTCTGATTCGCAGTTTGATGTATTTGATTATCGGGTGCCGTTCAGTTTTAATAAAACATCTCGTTTTATTCCTAATCCGATAAATCCTTTGCCGCGTCATTATAAATCTTTGCATTGCTAATCTGAAAGAACAGAAGAAAGCTATTTGGAGTACAAAGAAACCAGAGAGGTGGAAAAATCAAATTTGTTATATATGTATATTGCCAAAGATATAATTAGTAAAAAAATTTGTGTATTAAATAATCTCCTCCTAACGCTTCACTTCTGTAAATTGCTTTCGTTCGTAAAGAAGCACGTTCCAGCTAAATTGCAACCGTTCTTGTGAATACAAAGCAACCAGCGGATTGTACGACATGTGTTTGCAATATAATGTGCTTATGCATAAGCGACGTTGTAAGGAGAGCGAGCGCATCTATAATTAACTAAAGGTTTCTCATGTTGAATACGCAAACGCGTAATGATTCTACCAAGGCAGAATCGGCGAAAGATGAAACGAGCAGGATTTACATATGCTCCATGCGCAACCTACTATTGTATGACGTATATTATTACGGAAATTGTTACTAAGAATTTAATTACATGCGAATGCATTATATATGCATCAGTTTGAACAATTATTTTAAACAAAAGGGGATTTGCTCGGATCCTGCACACATGCCACACACATAAGTATATGTATATAGACAATATATAGATTATACATCTTATATGCGTTATATAAAGAAAAAGTAAAAAGAGAAAATATGTTTAAAATTAATTACATCTAAAAATAATAGCATAAAAATCGATCACGATCCTTCTTTCATGTATTACAACTACTGGTTGACAGCTAATTTATGGATTTTTGCATCAACATTAATAAATATGCATCGTATTTATCTTATTAACGAAATAAATTTTAGGCTTTCAGAGAAATATATACATTGCGCAATTCCACATTTGACATTGTATGCTCGAGATTAATTACGTAAAATTATATTATGTGACAAATTACTAATCCACTTTGGATGTGTCAATAATTTTATAACAATATTAATAAAACATCGTATTAAGAGTATCAAGAGGATTAAGAGTAATCGCTTTCCATTATATGTACAGAGGGGAGAAAACTGAGTTAACATTTTATAAGCACGCGATGAAACATAATTATCTCTATATTTACATTCCTGGAGATCTCTGTTGAGTTACCCTCCATCTTTCAAAAATAAATAAAACAAAAATTATGAATTCGTCACATTGGTGACAAATTGAGTACAGAAGAATTTAAAGCGCTAATGAGAATTTTTTTGCATATGCAATTCTATATACGAATGCGGATATATAAACCTGCGCAGCGTGATCTTCTAGAAATCACTCTGATAGAATTATCTCTATTCTCAATTACGATAATAGTTTGAAATTTTTGAAGGCTTGTTACACCAAAAATTCAAATTCATTCAATTCAATTAGGAAAAAAAACCTATACATATCTGTATACTAGAAAATTTGAGAATGTAAGAATAACCGGCTCGTTAATATTTTTGAAGCCTCGTTATGTTAAGATATCTAAATGTATAAAAAGTATTCACAAAAAGTAATAAATTGCTGCTTAATGCGACGAGC